GCCGTCATTTCAACAGATATGATCGATTACCGATTGACTAACATCATGATGATTTTTAAGAAAAAAAAATCATAAAAGATTGAATATTAGGAGAGAGGAAAAGATTGGTGAGAAACATAAGAAAACATACAAACTCAATTCGTTGATTGTTGCCTCAAACACAACCGCGCGACATGTCCGCAAAACATCAAAATGAAAAATGTTTCAGACGATTTTACGTGAACGTGACTTACAATTTTAATTTTCAATTTTTCATTTTTGGAATTTCAGTTAAAGAAACGTTCGCATTCCATTCGCTCACTGTTTATTCTCATAATATACCTTGTAAGATAGCTAAGTTTGTTAACCAAATAATGAATATGCTGACAGTGTGGGTCAAGAGTTATTAGAAATGTACGTTGTAAAGTTGAGTTTTGAAGAGATTTCAGTGATTTTGAAGAAGTTTCTTGTCAAAAAAAAGTGAAAAGAAACAGAAAGATGAACTATGGTGGCCAATAGAAGTGAGAAATATAATAAAAATAAAGTATTTTCAAGTAAAATTAATGTGAAGTGTGGCTGATCAGCAAACAAAGATAATCTTTAAAACAAAGCTCCTTAAAGATGGTTACAATTACTTTTTCATTTATATTTCACATTGAGAGCAGTATCTATATTCTATCTAGCGTTTCAAAGAGAGAGAATAAAAAAAAAGAAATAAAATTTTTTTTTGTGACATCCAATTGATGACCTACCTCATTGCTATCCGTTGGATTGAATTAAACGAGACAATTGACAAGATAAGTCAATTGTCACCTCATCTGTCTTCAGGTTAACTTGTTTATTATCTTCAATTGTCACTCAATCAAATATTATTTATATTTTATACATTGGCTGGTTGGTTAAACATGCGTTACATCAGATAATGTCATCAAATCACATAATTATATTCAAACTCCTTCATCATATGCAGCTGACACTTCTAACTGACAATGTGTTAAAGGCATGCTCGAATGACAATTCGTTTTTTTTCTTTTTTTTCGAACATTTTTTTTTGTCTTTCAATGTTTATGTGCAGAAACAAAGTTTATAAGAACATCATCATGAATGCAGATGAAAGCGTTACGGAAAGGATAATGTTTTCGTCTTCTTAAACTTTCGCCTCATATGGCTTTTGTTTCAACAAACCTCATGATCGTTTGTTCATTCAGAAGTCTTTGAAAAAAAAAATATTTTAACCTGTTCGCCGTTCCGATCATACATCTCAATAGTCTGATCGAACAAGAGTTCATCATCATAACAATTTTTGATGGTTTACTGTAATCTCGTATAATTACAGTTTGAGTTATCTGATATAATATTGTCTTTGTCATCGTCCATAAAGGTACCCTTTCTTTTCTCTTTATCCCCCTCCTTCCCCTCTTCCTCCCTCTCTCTCTAACAAACAAATCAATAACGAACTCCTTCTATTTGTATAGTACGTCCCACATCTTTTTTAACGGTCACGTACATGGTGCGAAATCTTGATACTTTGTTTTATATTTTAATATTAAAATAATGCGAAAATCTGCTATTATTTGTTTTCATCAGACTCTCTCCTTCTATTGTCTTTTGCAATTATTTTCACAGCTGTATTTCCCAAAACTGCTCTTTGCTAGGAAGATCTCATTTTATGCTACTTGTATAGTATAGATTGATCACGTATACTCATATCCAGTTTGACTGTTTCCTTTAGTTTCTACAATCCCTCGTTGAAATCATGAAACAGTTTTCCTTCTCGAGTTTGACCATTAATAGTTCTGTTTCTCGAAATTTATTTTTTCATTACATCATAATAATTGATTTATGATTTTGCTTTTTGTTTTTATCTTTCTTCTTGAATAAATAAGTTGAAGTAATAGGTATGTGTTCAAGTGTGGCTTGTTCTTCGAACAAAAGAATTGTAAAATGTTGGGGCCGAGCCGGGGATCGATCCCGGGACCTCTCGCACCCTAAGCGAGAATCATACCACTAGACCACTCGGCCTGATGGAGCTGGATCAAAATTGTCTACAAGATTTCCTCAACAGTTTTTTTGAAGTTTTTTTCATTTAATCATCAATAACCATTCCTATTCTATCGACTTTCGAGCTCTCTTTGTAATTCACTCCGTTCTAGAGAGTTTTATCATTTTTCTCCTGGAGAAACAGCTAATTCAACAATGCTAGTTGGTCAAGACCATTACTCTCCGTTCGGAGAAGATGTTAGTTCTCTCATTTCGATGATTTATATTGATGTAAGCAAGAAGTTTTCAAGTTTCTCAACTATCTGTTCTCTTTTTTTGTTTTGTTTCTCATCTTTCTTACGACGATTCTTGGTTATTACTGAAGTTGCGTCTTTGAGGTATTATTCATTTCCGAGCTTCGAGCATTGTAATCATTGTAATGAAAAAGTAATATTCATTTGAGAAGATGTATGACGAATTGTCTGTAAACCTCATAATCTCGTCATAGATATGAAGTCATTTTCGATTAAGTTTATATACATTTTAATGATGTATTATCAATAGCTTATCTCGAGGTGATAATGGCTGATGGTCCGGTAGCCCTCCTAAGCTAGTTGGGCAAATGGACAACTCCCTTCTAGTTGTTTGTTTTCTTTTTTGTTATGTTTGTGATTGAATTTCAATTTGACATAATCAGTTAGCTAATTACATTTTCTTCGAAATGCCCTTTGACTTCAATTTCTCTTTCTTTATCGTCTTCTCATTCAAAAGTAATTTCGTTCATTTCAAAACATTAATGCAGTGGGTGAGAGCACATGAAATTTTGTTTCAAATTATTGACCAAATATGTAAATCAACTCATATCTCTCTGCATGATCAATGTGCCTCAGACCTACTAATTGCTTTTCATATTTCTCGTCTCCTAGGTTACGTTTTCGCTTTCTATAATCTGGATTTCTCCAGCCTCATATACAACTTTTTGATTTTTTAATTTTTCATACTTCACGCTCATGAGTCTTTGAATTAATTTCAGATATCACCTAATTGCAATGAGATTAAAGAAACAATGTGGGGGCGAGAGAGGGAGAGAGAAAGAGAGAGAGAGGGCAGATCTATCTCAGGGTTTTCATTTGTCACACGTAGAGCAAATGTAGTAGGAGTGACATAGTATCATCAATTGAATACTTCTCGCCTTTTTCAATTTTCAAAAATGGATCATAAAGCCGATAGAATGAGCATAATGAAGAGAAACGATCAGAACGGTTAGACAGTGGGAAAAAGGATTATTATGAAGGGACAGCCCAGTCCATCGAAGAGAGTTTGAATATCATCTATGGCCATGTTTGATAGCTTCTCTTTTCATAAAAGCTTTTCCCATGATTCCTTTTTTTTTATCTTTTCTCTTCAAACAACATCGATCTCTCTCTATTCTCCAATCAATATGCAAGGTTGTACAGTATTGATACAAATGTAACTATTTGCAGACAATAACTGTATCCGTATTGGTTATCAGTACAAACCTTAATCGATCTCTTACATGCGTCCTATCTTGTTTGACTCGACTTTTTCTTTTACTCCCATAATTAATTTTCTTTTCTCTTTCTTTTTTCTACCAATTTTCTGGATGTATGTCGTTAGTCTAACTCAATCTAGACTAATCTTCTTTTTGTCTCAAATATTCAATTCTATATATCAAATGTTTGTATGTATAATACTTTACAACAAGCCAATACACACATCAACACAATAAATATATATTTTAACATTTCAATTGCTCGATCCTTTCTTGTCCATCGGACGACCAATTATGGCCATGCGGTAACTGCAAATCCCGTTGTTTCTAATCTCTCTGAACTATTAGAGAGAGAGGGGTTGAAGGGAGTAAGGAGTAGATGTAGAGAAGAGGATAGAGGCGCTTCCATTCAATTTCTGTCCCATTTACCACATTTTATTATTATTCTTTTCCTGTAACTCTTTTTTTTCCACTTTCTAACCTCATCGCCTGCTTTCAAATCTGTGACCCCTCTCTCTTCCATTTTCGCTCTCTCTCTCTATCTATTACTTCACTCTGTTGCTTCTTTATTTTGCAAATTTGTTGTTTTTTTCCTGCCAAACTTTTTTTTTCTAGTTTTCATCCAATTAGCTCTCGAATACTGCAAAATATATATTTTTCTGTACATTGAAGTACACGTTTTTTTTCTCCATAATTTTCTCCTTTATTTGGGCATTTTCATTGAAACGATTGTGTCCTTTCACTTCTTCTGTTCACAGCCATTTTCGTTTTTCTTCCAGTAAAGCTATAAATCTATCTATTTTCCCATATGAACGTTGGGAAACGATGTTTTCTTTATGATCTTTTGATGGGTTGCTGTCGAACCTTTTTTGTTTCTTTTCTATGATTTGTAACTAACTGTCCTTTCTCATCTCAAGCAGACAAATGGCGTTTTCCTTAACGGATTCACGTCCATTTCTCTGCATTTTCCACTTTTTTCTTTCCTCATGTTGTGATGTGCTGAGTACTTCCGCTCGACCTCCTTCCTAACCGGTCAACCTTTCGTCCTATAATTCGTAACCCTCCCCTCATCTCTCTATCTCTCTTTAACTCTTTCTCTCTCTCTCTCTCTTGATGACTTTAGGAATTTACTGCTAAAAAAGAGTTTTATATTTTGAACAAACGTATGAAACATGAATCAAATGAACTATCTGAAAATTGCGTTTTTTTATTAAATTATTTCATGAAGACAGAGCCGACAAACGAAAAATTATAAATTTTGACTCTGTCCCTCCTCCAACATGTTTGAGAAGAAAAAACCGTTTATAACAACAGTTTGATCAAAGTCCATTTGTAAAGTCTCTTTATAATCTATTCGTTTTTTTCTTCTTCTTCTTCTTCATTTTTTTGCTTTCCTCACCAAACAGTAGAAACCATTGAAGTCACGAAGAAGCTTACTTAATCTTGTTAACTACTTAATCTTAATAGTTATGAAAGTCTTCATCTATTCTTATAAATATTATTTTTCTTCATTATTTCAGTGAAAACCATGCTATCATTCCGATCGGTTAGACGACGCGGATGGGGCCTTTTTCTTAAAAGTATTTTAATTGTTTGCTTGTTTGTTATTTTCATTCAAATCACATCATCACACCCTAGAGGCGTTACTTATCAGCAAGATGAAGTAAGTTCTTCAAACATCACATCTCATTTACTCTCTTTCGTAGCAGGTTCTTGAGAAAGTCGAGAGTTATGCTCACCTTCCTGCCGAACAAAAGGTTTTTTTTGTTTTTTTCTCTATTGAAATACTGAGTTCCTCGTTTCCCAGAGCATCCAGCATGTTGATGGAAAAATAGAAATCTCTCAAGTTCAACATGTGGAAAAGAAGCTCAAAAAACCAAGAGAGGTTTGTGATGCTGAGCATGTAGGCTGATTTGAAAGGATCATTATCTTTCAGAATGAATTTTATGAAAATGTTATTGTACATTTTGATCTGAAAGGAGCGCCGCCCAAGGTTCCATACTTCAAGCAGCTTCTGAATCTCGTTGCCAAAGCTGGAGCAACTGGTTGGTTCTTTGAACAGAGTAGAAACTAAAGGCCGCTTAGGAGTTTTGATCGAATGGGAAGATATGTTTCCATGGAAAGGAAAGCTGGAAATAGCGAAAAGTACAGATGCTTATTCTTTGAATGATGTACGAGAAATATTGTCAGAGGCAACGTAGGCTTGCTCTCAATGATTTATACAAACGGATTGTTTTAAGCACATTGGGCCTGGACATCATTCCGTTAGTACAAACGTTTGGACATTTAGAATGGGTCTTGAAGCTGGATGAATATAAGCATCTACGAGAGAATGAAGCTTATCCCCAGGTTTCGTCTTTATTAGTTTATGAGCTTCATTTAATCATTTAAGGTTTTATGTCTGGGAGATGAGGAAGGAGTCGATATTGTCAAAGATGCTTTGAGACAAGTTATAGAAGTTCATTCCGAGTATGGCATCCCATATTTTCATATTGGAGCTGATGAAGCTTTCGAGGTGAGCATTGCACTTAATTAATCTGTTCGTTTTTTGCCACATGGCAAGAAGGTGGATATCATTTCTATTTTTCTTCCGGTTGAGCTGGCTGTGCAAACTATCAAGAAGGATTCAAAAATACTCTTAACTTTTATTTTTTTAGTTTGGCGTTTGTCCTAAATCACAGCAATGGATATCAAAGCATGGTTCCGATGGTGGAAGACAAACATTAGCTCTCAGTCATCTTAAAACTATTGCTCAACATGTGAAATCACTTACTAATACAACGTGAGTTTCACATTTGGAATATAAGCTTCCTCAATCAACCAATCTATTCTTAGTGTGCTTGCATGGCATGACATGTTGAAAGATTTCGATGGAAGATTGATCAAGAAACTAGAATTGTTCAAATTCATACAGCCAGTTGTGTGGGATTATTCAGAGAATATAGTTACTATGAATGGTATGTACCCTCAAAAGGCCAGATGTTTGAATTGAAAATCATTTTCTTAGATTGGAGTTTCTCGACTCTAGCTGATAATTTCCCCATAATATGGGCTTCGTCTGCTTATAAAGGAGCTAATTTCCCGTCAGCCAAATACATTGATATTAGACATTATGAAACAAATAACCGCGCTTGGATCAATACCAAACAGGTACACTTGCTTCAAACATGTGAAGCTTCTAAAATGTTGCTCTTCTGCAGACTCAACAAAGAAAATTCCGTAAATTTGGTGGAATTATAATCACTGGCTGGCAAAGGTGAACATCAGATTCTCATTTGGAGAAAACATTTTCTGAATTTACAGATATGATCATATGGCTGCTTTATGTGAAATTCTTCCAATGGGAACACCATCTATGGTTCTACAAATCCAAATAGCATTGTTGGGTTCTACTGGGGTAACTGATTCTCGTTATAATGGCAATTATTCATTCTTATTATTTAAGAATACTAACATGGCTAGAACGAAAGCTGCTCAGATTCTTGGCTGTTCAGGCTTTGATGTTCATGAGTTGAACATCATTAGTAATTCGTGTAACTTCCCTGGTATATTAGTATGATAGCTTTTGAAACTAAAATGGAGTTTACAGGTTCCCTGGTGTATATGCTATTCCAAGGAACTGCTAGGCAAACAATAGATCATGTAGAAGGAGAGTTAGGTAGAAATCACCACATCATGGGATGGTTGTCTCCCTATAGTATGCGTCATAATTATTCCCAAAATTGGTATGAATAGAGACAGCATTAACAAACTAATACAATGCTATTGAAGGTATCTGAAGCAGATTGAACCGACAGTCAGCAACTTGTTCTCACAATTGCAGAACGTTGAGGATAATCTGAGGTATGGCATTACTCCAGTTGAAGCTTTAATTGATTCATGATATTAAGACGGGAAATGTCGAAGTTGTTCTTTGATAATACAATTGATGAATTCCTGTACATCACTATGGGACCTACAACAGACAAGATGAAGAACATGGTCTCTGAAACAAAACGTTTACAACGGTTACGAGTTTATCCTAAAAGGCATTTCCCTATTGTACGCAAAGTAGAGTTGTAGAAGTTTAGCTTTATAAGCATTTTGTTATGATATTGCCATGAAAACAAAATAAGTACCTGTCTACGTGTGATATTTCTTTTAAAAAGAAGCTTTACGTGTGTCCTTTTTGTTATTTTTTTTTGTATTTTTTGATTTGTTTTCGAATTCAATTCGGGTAACTGAATGTACATATGATTGGTGATAAACATCTTTTTCATTATACTAATCTGTTATTTGTGTTTCTTGACGAATCGTCACATTCATGCACGTGAACGTATACAGGAACAGTCTAAGTCAACAGTCTGTCTGGTGGTAGAACATCACACCTGTACCCACACTTCAAGCCAAAATGAAAATATGTTTTAATAACCTTTGAACCATTTATTCATTTCAACATATGAAAGCTCCCATAACCGTATAAGGTTATTTACTTATGTAGGTCACAGGCCCGTGAATCGAAGAAAAGAAAAAAACAAACAGCGAACATCCAAATAGTTATATCTGTGCAAACCAGGCTTAGTTAACTCCTAACAGAATTTGCATATGATTAGTGATAAGCAGTTTTTTTTTCATGATACTATTCTGTGATAGTTTGATCTCTTGAACATTCTTTTTATAAATGATAGTTCAACTCCTACGAGACTGCATTGAGGTCTTATCCTCTTACTCACCAAGATTTTTGCTCTAAATGGTCTCTGTTGAAACAGAGTTAGCTGCAATGTGGAGAGTAAATGAGAAGAAATGCAAGATTTGTCCCATGGAAGTATAGATAGCTACAATTATGATAGATGTTTAAGAGACAAAAGATAGTATATAAGAGAATGAGAAGAAGTGGACAACGAAGAAAAGGCCAACAAGCTGCAGGCATAAAGAGAGGCCAAAAGGGCAGATGCTGAACATATTCCCTAGTGGTCAACGATTTCAGAAGGAGGAGCATTCTGTGCGATGTAGAACTGAAGAATAGAGACAAATCACAAATCACCCAAAATCCCAGCTTTCTTCTTCTTTTACTTTCTGGTCTGTCACCTCATAACGTTCATTGTAATAATGTGTCATTATAGAATAACGAAATTGTATATTTGATCTTTTATATTTGAAAAAGAATGGTTTGACAAGATGTCGAAATCTCCAGAGAGGTTGACGCGATTTGCAAAAGCCCGACAGTCATTTAGACAGAAGGTAATTGATGCCACTAGCTTCCATATCGAATGCTTGAAACTCTTTAGGCACATACGGTTGGAACACTGGTCGAGAAAAACATTCGAGCACGAAAAGCACCAAGATGGGTAGTAGTGCTGAATAAAGTAAAAATAGCATATCATAAACATTTCGTTCATGCTCTCATTTTCCAGATTTATCATGATTACGGACTTAAACACATCATGCTGTTCTCTATTCTTGTATTATATCAGTTTTTGGGTGCTGGAATATTCTATATGTGCGAAGCAGAATTTGACAACGAAAAAGAGATTATATGGAACGAGAAGTAGGCTCTCTTGTCCTTCTATCAGAAGAAATCTCATGAACTCTTTCCAGAATATTGGAAAATCGAACTATATTTGTTAATAATATTATTCCTTTAATGTTTAATAATACTGATTACCTATTTTTCCTGACACAGGAACAAACCGAACAAGTAAGTCTATCTCATCTCATGCTGTGATCACTCATCCTTATTAGGTTACAAACAGACTTTTGAATGAAATGAAAAAATATGAACGGCAATTAGATATCAAATACACAGATCAGAAAATTCCTTGGGATTTCTGGCATTCTATGCTTTACGCACAGGTATCTTTTTGAAGGATTTGAGCAGCATACATAGTGTATTTTCCTTCAGACCATCTGTACTACAATTGGTTATGGACATCTCTATCCATCAACTGTGGCTGGACGAGTATTCACAATGATCTATGCTATATTTGGAATTCCCCTAGTTCTCTCAATTTTAGATGATTTCGGTAATTCATTTCACATCTCTGAGATAGGAGCTTCCTCTCGGGATTTTTTTCGTTTTGTCTAGCAAGTAGTGCGAAGAGGAAGGAAAAAAAAAGAATTTTATGAGATAACTGGAATTTACCAGGCTCATTCATCTTCCGAAGGATGCACAACACATTGATTTTTCTTCTTTTTTCGAATTCTTGAAGTGTTAAGCCTTTTAAAGCATGTGTTGGCTTTGTTCGAAAACTTCTTCCCTATTTGGTAGCCTCCAGATTGTATCGATTGAATTATTAGCATATTTCATGGTCAATATGCTAATTATGACAATAGACTTGATGCTCATTCATCTTTTCCAATCTCTGCAGAAGAAACCGAATGTTTTTGAACTTGCCTAACCCACAACCTTCAGGAAAAGTGTTAACAAGGGGACTTAACTGGCCATGGTGGCAGGTAAAGCGGGGATGCCGAAGGATATTCAGATACTGCACAAAACAAACCATGAACGAGATCCGGAAATTAGATGAAGAAGATAAGAAAGGTAGAATCTAATTTCGTTCATGTTACATGTACGATGAGTTCAGAGCTTGATGTGTTCAACCTTCCAATACCTGTCGCTTTATTAGTAGTAGTTTGTTGGATTTTTATCTGCTCCGCCACTGTTCTGCTTTGGGAAGATGACTGGGATTACTTCGTAGCATTTTATTTCTTCTTCATATCCCTGAGGTACTCGTTTGTAAACATGGTAGACTTGATAACGACTCTTTTCAGCACAATTGGACTAGGTGATATCACTCCAACGCAACCAAAGTATCTTTTACTCATTTTTCTGTTGATTCTGATTGGACTTTCTCTTGTTTCTATGTGTATTAATCTGATTCAGGTATTTTATATACTTCATACACTTCTTCAACACTCGTTTCAGGCTAAGCTTGAAAGAACGTACCAAGCAGGAAGAAGTTGTGACAAGAAAGGAATGGCATATTTGGAAGTCTGCAGAAGAGGAAGCAGCTTAGGTGAATTTGTCTGCAAATATAATACACAGATCAGCACACAACACTTTCTTATTGTTTATTGTAAACCTATCTTTAAACGAAAACCTTTTAGGTATTTTCCGTACATCATCTTCAGTTCACTCGATCAGTAGAGAAGCTGTGCAGAAAATGCTTGCAAATAAGAGTAAAGGAAACAAAACATGTCAGACCATGCTTTCTTTTCCATCTTCTACCAGTAACAACTCGAGTATCGTCAGAGCTGTTTCTCATTCCAGGTGTTTCATTAGTTATCAGACTGCTTGTTAACTTTGTTATTGCTCAATAGGTATCGTTTCCTTCCGAGAACACTTTCGATTGATGATGTGATGCGGATGGTAGACACTGAAGACGGGGATATTCTTAGTACGTTTGATTAATATTCAGATTGTGGAAGTTACTGCTATTTAGTATTAGCTGATCTTGTTCGAGAAGAATCTGGATTGAGTAAATCTTCTCAATGCACAACTTTCTCAAGTGATGATACTGATTGCAGTAGGGTATGAACTCACGATACAATTTTTTTGTCAAAAAAGAACTTCAGATAGTTATATCTAAATCTTTCGATTCATCCTTCAACCCGTCTATCTTGAAACAGCCAACATCATCTGAGTCCGATCATAACGATAATGAAGATAGTTTCAACGGTAATCGACTACCTCATTCAACTGCTTGTATTCAAAATCTTCATGAAATTGAAGAGCTAGAAGAGATTGAAGATAGGATTGCGTTGGGGCAGCCAATTGACTTAGCAAGTACAGTTCAGTTTAGATCTAGGTATACGATTGAACACATAGTACAAAAAAAATGTTGTTTCTAGGTTGTCGCTCATACCTGAGCAGTTACCATCTATGGTGGAAGAAGTAGAGGAGCCAAGTGACGAATCACATCCACTGTCGAAAAGCGAGGAAAACGAAAGAACGAAGTGAAATAAGAAAAAGTTAATTGTTAAATTGAACTATATCATTTCCAGACGAAGACCCTTACAAAATATGATTAGTTATTTGTCGAAAAGGAAAGAAGATCGTGGAAGCTCGAGAACATTACCGTAATTGAAACCTTCTACATCCATGCCCTCACAAAAACCTCGAGTTGGCAAATGAAACAAACACAGAACACCATGGAATGTATTCTTGTGATATTTCTCTCTGTATTTATAAATCGAATTGTTCATCTGTTGGAAAATCAAACTTGAATTGTTAAGACTGCAATTTCTATTTCAACCATATAACTCAGTGATTTCAATGTTCCCGACAATTTGCATGATCCACTCGCATTATGAACAACGTTTGACAGGGGGATAACTGGATTGATTAGAACGATTGGATATTCTGAGAGAAAAAAAGCTAAGAAAAATGATATCAATGAAACAAATCAACAAACTCGGACATACTCAACCGAATATGGAAATGGGTTCGTTTATATATTCTCAGGATATCATCAGGATCATCACTCTCATGAAATGCAATTCAAACTGGTAGCTTCTTGTACGAGAATGGAATAAGATAAAGTTTTTTTTGTGTACGTGGAAGACATCAAGCCTCACTACCGATGAAAAATTCGAGGTGCATGATTGTTTTGCCGTATTCCGCTCAATGTTTCAAGAAGTTGTGGAATTTCACAATAATAGTTACAGTTCAACTTTGTTCTTTCAACGCATGAACAGCTCGTCTTATGAATGGCTTAAATTTGGGTATGAGAAGATTAATGAAACTTTGAGAATAAGACCGCTTTGCCTGTTGAAAGATTTTGAATGACATCATTTCAATTTAGCTACTACAAGTATAACCTCTTTTCATAATGCTCTCTGTCTGATTACCCTTTTTCACTCGAAAAAGTACTAACAACGTAGGACAGACTAGGGTTTTCAATATATATTTTTTCAAAATTTTAACAATGAAACAACTAAAACACTAAATATAAAACAAAAATATTACACTCTCCTAACTTTGCGAGGACGTGGCCCTAACTCTGGTAAAGGTGTATGATCAGTGATCGATACAACTTCAACTCCCGCAACAGTCAAGCCTTTGATACAAGTCATTCTTCCCGGGCCAATCCCTTTCACCTAAAAAGGAGGTGAATTTTGAAACCTGTTTACCCGCTTCAAACCTGAACTCTCACGGTCCGGATACCTCGCCTAACCAACCTCTGCCCAGCAGCAACACCAGTAGTTTGTCCGGCTGAAATGATTTGATAGGCAGTATCATCCTGATTACAAACCAATAGTGGTCTTCTTCCTAGCGTTTTTGAACCCTTCCAGTCTACATGAAGTATACGTAATCATATTATGTTTATGATCAGTAACTGTAACCAGGGTGTTATTTTTAGTTGCCTTTATGAAGACTATGGGTAGTTCGTTATAGACAATACCGTTGAACTGCTGCAAGCGAACGACTTTTCAATAAATTCATGACTGTGTCTACCTCTTTAAGAGTTTCAGCTGTTGGAAAACGTGAATCAATGCCCGATAAATTGACAGAAGTACGCATATTCGCTCCAGACGTACCTTCCATAGTTTCCTAAAACACTATGTGAGTGTTCACTTGAAATTGTGAAATACTTGTTGATGAGCAGGAATTTTTGTTCCTTGTCTGTGTGCATCTCTAACACTATCTAATATTCTAGAGCTAGTACTTATGCACCTCTGAACATTCAACTTGGGAATGCTGAAAAGCTTACTGAACTCTAATGTGAGTCGTCCAACGGACATCTAAAACGTCATGAACGATGATTATGAAAACACACAATTGGAAAGTAAGAATTGGAAGAAACCTCCGGAGAAAAACAAAGAAGGAACTATGGAATGAGATCAGTTTAGACAGCACTGTTTAACAGAAAATACCGGCATTGCAAAGTACATAAACTAACATTTCCATATAATGAAAGAACTAGTAGTATTTTTGAGTATCACGCATTTTTCAAGACCACAAAGCTCTATTAAATTCCAAACAACCCGAGCTGGCCACGATGGCTTCATCTTCGTTTATACTATCCTGCAATTCAAATATTAAGCTTCATCAAATCAAGAAGTTGTTACTTGATCGGAAAAATGATCATTTCCTTGATGTTGCGAGGAATGCTGTGCTGGGTTCGGATTGTATTCTACAACATATTTAGAGTTTGATATAGCAGGAAACGGTACATAGCTATATGACAGCATGTAGACGCACCTGTATTACGAATATCCAAAACTGTACTCAATTCACCCCGTATCGATCTTAGATGATTTAGTAAGGAAACAAGATTAGAGTCTGTGAAGCCATCCAAATCAAACTGAACTTTGTTTGTTAACTATTATTCTTTTCAAATTGTGAAACCTGCGCCACTCTTTCGATGAATTCCAATTCACTGCCTATGCTGCTCAATAAAGACTGCCTTCTCATAAGAGTTTTATCCCGATAGTCGGCTAAAATTTATTTCAGAAAAATAATTAACTAAAGAACTCACGTTCTATTTGATCGCTCCTAACTAAACCATCCATATTATCGAGATCCTGCTCGTTTACACCTCAAGTAGACATTAGTAAGACCATTGGTCAAGAATCACTTACTACCTTCAGGACTATTGGTACTCCTGAGCCCATCTATCGACCTGCGACGCATACTGAATCCTGGTTTCGAATCATCACTCATTGCATAATCATATAACTCCTACAACAAACTTTTGTTCATTATCTTACATTGATCCCTTCCTACCGGATGCATTGCTGCTGCTTGACCTGCTAGTCTCCGAGCTTCTGCAGATGATTTACATAACTCATTGAGTTCGATGAAACCATTTTCTGTCCTCATTTTAGGTACGAAAACACGCGGTCTGGGCCAATGCTAAATATCTATCTAATCATATTGTAGAAACTATTGAACGCACATTTTGATCAGCTAGTTCCTGTGTTGTAGGTTCACCTGACTGACGTATTCTTTGAGCACCTTGTCTTACTATCCCAGCTCTATCTAACAGTTCTTCTTCCCAATACTCACAATCATTGGGGATTCCTGTTACAGCCCACCTATACCAAATAGATAGAGCTCATGAATCTCAGCTAACCTTTTTGTAGAAGAAATCATCAACGTTCGCAATTCGTCAAGATCTACTAAACAGACTCTTTGAGCATAAATATTTTCGTGAGCAAATGGCCCAAATTGTCTCTTCAAATAAGAGATAATTTCTTGGGGGCTTTCATCTTGCAATTGCTTCTGAGCAATTAGTTGTTTGACCTAATGGAACAATAGCAATGCTTTACGAATTACGGATGAACGTACCACATTCGGAAGTCTCATCCTTGCGTCGTGCCCATAATGATCACAACAAACATCAACTTCTACCAACCTGCAGGATAGGAATAGAATCAAACCATATTATTTATGATACTAACCCATTAGCATGCTCAGTTCCATGAATGAATGCAGTACATGTATATCCAGTTCTGTAAGGTCCTGTTCGGTTTTTTGATGGATCATCAGCACTTGTTCCAACAAATCCGGATCTAAGAAAACCAAATGTAAGCTGTGCAGAAAAAAATTAAAAACCTATTGCATGCCATAAAAATTCCACGACCACTAGCTCTTCTTTTCGAGCCTGACTTATAACGGAAGTGCGCTCCACCTTCCATTTCAATCCACCGCATGAAACGCTATCACAAGAGTATTTATTGAATTAAAAGCTGAACTTACGTCGAACATCGTTCTATTCTTAAACATTAACTGATGAGTGGTTGGCTGGACATCATGCTCACTCTGAAATAATGGCTGTGAACTTTCTTTTCGAAATTACAAACCTTCAAATGGAGAAAAAACCCAGTTCTCGTTACAAATTCGGAAAAGCATACGCCACAACAAAAGTTTCTCTTCTTGGTCGTGTCACCCAAAGGTTCTTCTCCTCCAATACGACACTGAAAAAAAACTCTGTACTCAGCAACGTAAAGCTTTTTATACCCCATTCGTTCTATGGTAATCAATGGTTCTTGGAGCTAAAACTTTACCACAACCATATGGACATCTATTCCTCCTCCCAATAGTTCTCGGCCTTTTGTAGGGATATAACAATTCAGGCTGAAGGTTCAAAAACGTATACAGTCTTCTTTGGAGATCGGACTTACTTTAACTTCTACATTATAGTTATCTCCAACGTCTAAATCCTCATTTAAAACATTTTCATCGTCACCATCCATAACTTCAAAATACGTTAACTACATTTACATTTCAACAGCTTAATCTTCAGCAAAAATAAACATATTCATAATTAATATCACAGAAACATGTGCGTAACTGCGTACAGCTTGCAGTCGTGGCGCAACAAAGCGCATGGTCGTTCAATTCAGTGTGTAAACAGCGTGCACCTCGGTTGCTTTTTCTACTCTTGCATTATTTTTAGCTTTAATTGATTTTTTATGTTATGCTTCTATTCTTCTGTATTTCCAATTTAAGCTATGTGTAGTAGTTATTCAAGAAATTAATAACTTTGTTTTTTCACTTCGTTATGTGCACTGGGTTTACGCCCCAACTCTCAAACATCAATAAATTCCGTTCACGCTATTGACTTCCCTCGCTTGCATTATGTTAAGCGTCGTTGTTCATCCTGAAACGACTGAAATCAAATGCAGTCGTTAGCTGTCTCTTCCATTTCTATTTTGACAAATCTTGCACATCGTTTTATTCAACAAACAAACTTTGCTCCATTTTTATCTTGTTGCCCGAGTTTCGATATATTTTTTTACTACTAGGTTACGAGACAGAGCCTCAACACTGAATGGCGTTTCGACCAGGATTCGGCGCCCCACCGTTTGGTTAGTTTAACATAAGGTTTTAATTTTTATTCCTAATGCTTCAGGAGGGTTCAGCCAATCTTCAATTTACTTTAATCCAGTCTTATCGAGGCCATTTGGAGCTACACCCGTATGTACTTTATATAAACATAATAATTGTGATGTCTTTTTCAGGCAGCAGCCCCAGTTCCAACAAAATCAACTCCTGTTACAACCGTATTCATTGGAAACATTTCTGAAAAATGCACAAATGAGTTCATGCAACAAATGCTGCAGGTTAGAAAAGACTAAACAGATCGAGCGTACAATCGATGTTTCAGGAATGTGGTACTGTCACAAACTGGAAGCGAATCCAAGGCTCCAATGGGAAGTTTCAAGCTTTCGGATTTTGTGATTATGAATCGCCTGAAGGAACACTCAGAGCTCTGAGAGTTCTTAATGATTTCCAAATAGGAGACAAAAAACTTGTTGTGAAGGTAAATACTCGTTCGTAGGTGAACAAAATATTTTCCTTGAAGGCTGAAGACAAAGTGAAAGAGGAGCTGAGAACATGGGCTGTTCAACATCGTAAAGATCTTGGCAAAGCCCCTTTAAAGATGAAAGAAGGAGAACTTCCAGCTGATGATGATGATTTGAAAAAAGATGAAGATGTGAGGCTCTTACTTCCTCGCTTTTTGTTATCAACAACTTGCAGGTCCGCTTGAAAATTTTAAATTGGATTGAGAGCGATCATCCCGAACTCTTAACTCTAGCAGAAGGTAAGAGTTGAATCCTGTGCTGAATTTATAAGTGATTTATAGACGGCGAGTTGTCGGATAAAGATGGTAAACTGAAGAAAGATGGCAAGGAGGAAGACAAGAAAAAGGTGAGATGAAGTTTAGTAAAAGGGGGGAGTTTCCTTGCGTGCAAGCGATTTTGAAATTTGGTACTAGCCTTATTCCGACGTATAGCATCTCTTTCTATAGGTAGCAAATCATCCACAAGGTTGAAGGTAAGTTATTTATACTCCTATGTTTAACAAAGAAATGATCTCTAATAAACTATCTGTGCTCACTGGCCGTCCTGTATGTGCAAAACCAAACGCTTCTTCACTGGGTTTACACATTGATACTCAATTTGTGTTTCTGATCACTTCTAGTTAACATGCCTCTTCTGCTTTGAAACACTTCCTATTCTTCCTCCTATGCACGACTATGAATATGTTATGCATGCTTATATGTTCAGCACTTTGTAACCAATATATCTCACTTCACAGCTTCTTATAGTAGAGATTGTTGCTTAGTTTCCCTAGCCAGCACTAGAATATGTCTTTTCCATGCAGGTCGCACACCTTTCCAGTTGCTGTTAAAAGTTTGACAAGTTTTTATATCCGCCCTCTCTTTCAGACATGAGCTCTTCTTAGAAAATTTGTGGAACGAGTGAGTATCCAAATTTAAATGTCTACTGTCTGTGCATAAACCCTTTCTTGATGGGACTCTTTCTTTCTCATATTTGTGTTGTCCCCGTTATATGCATGCAGTTAAATGTCATTTCTTTACCTAAAACACTTTCAGGTTTTCCTTATTATATATTTTTCGAAAAGGAGACAGGCTAGTTATTATCGTTAGCTTGTCCTCGATGACCATTCGTTCTATAAAATAGTTTGTTGGATGCTCTTTCTTATTTTTGATGTCTTTCAGGATGATGATCGAAGGCGTAGACGTTCTAAATCCCGCAGCAGAAGTCGTGATCGTCGCCGCAGGAGCAGATCCACTAAGCGGAGGTAAGCCTGCATGTTAGCCTGAAATGTACTAATGGCCTGGTCATTCAGACGAGTACATCATTCTTGTTCTGTCTCTTCACGTTCTTCGTCTTCTAGCTCTGATTCCTCGTCTTCATCCCGATCCCGATCCCGTTCTGATTCACCAAGGAGGAAACGCCGCGACCGCAGTTCCAGCAGGTTGGATTATCCAGAAGACTTATGCTAATCGATTCATTTAGAAGCCGTGACTCTGAAGATAGTGATGATGCCAGAGAAAGAAGACTCTTGAAAAAGCAGATTAAGGAAAAAGAAGCGGCTTATATGGTTCGCCTAAGAAATTGGGAGAAGAGGGAGAGAGAACGTGCCAAAGTTTATGAAAAGGAAGAAAGAAAGGAAAAGGAAAGGTTCGTAGCTATACTGTTGCTTTTTGCAATGGCTTCGTTGTTTATAGGAAGAAAACTATATTGAAAGAAGCCAAGAGGTTGAAGTCTTTCCTGGAAGATTATGATGATGAGAAGAACGACCCTAAATATTACAAGTAAGAAAACAATGCTGAAGCTTCCTAATTTCATTTTCTCAGGAGTTCCTACTTGTTCCAAAGAAGGAGGGAGTTCGAGAAAGAGAGAGAAGCTGACGCGAAAGATCGTTTGCGGGAACAAAATGAAATCGAAGAGCTTAAGAGACAAATTTTGGCCGAAAATAAGAACGGAGAAGATGCTGATGCTGAAGCCAGACGTAGACATCAAGAAAAAGTATTTTGCAGCAATATACTGTATCTATATAACCGTACAATTGTAGGAAGATGCAGAATTACGAAGGCTCAGAGCTGATAGTGGTAGTCCCAATCCTCATCAAAAGCTTGGACAAGGCGAAGATGGTGGCAGTACCAGTAGCAGTGACACGGATGACGACGAGAAAAGCAACGATGATGTAAACGGTGAAGCCGGTAATGCTCAAGACAAATGGAGAACAGGTGACTCTTTAAGTTTCATAATTTCATAAAGTCATATATAGTTGCAGTTGATATCGCTAACTCTAACTCACCAAATACTGTTGCTCCAGTGAAGTTAGGAGCTTCCTCCCCTGTGGCTATTCAACCCCCGAAGAGAGATCTTACACAGAGACTCAACGGCGTATTCGGTGAGATTATTTTATTGTTTGAATCCTCATATGTGTTTCATGCTGCAGGAGTTGATGATGAAGATGATGACGCCAATATTTACAAAAGAAAACGTTTAAAGCCATTCGAAATAACGCAAGAAGACAGAATGGCTTCTCTAACAGACGAAGAAAAAAAGAAAATGGTTAGAGATTTGATAAGTAGAATACCAACGGGACGAGGTAAGCTCTAATCTTCTGTATGAAAAACAAAAACAATTCGTTCAGATGATCTCTTTGCCTTTAATATTGATTGGACATTTGTCGATAAAACAACCATAGATCAGAGGGTAAGACCCTGGGTTTCAAAGAAAATAAATGAATTCATCGGTTAGTTATTCACACCTCTTTCTGGGCTTACCGTATAATTCTTTAGGAGAAGAAGAACCTGCCCTATGCGACTTCATTTGTGACAAAATCACGAGAAAGACAGCCCCTAATGAAATTCTTAATGATATTGCTATGGTAATGTTGGTACTGTCAAACTGTTTTCTAATTTTTTGAACTATAGATATTGGATGACGACGCAGAAGTATTTATGGTCAAAATGTGGAGGTTACTCATTTATGAGAGCGAGGCCAAGAAATTAGGGTTACCTAAGCTCAAGTAATAAAGCCGTGATTGACTAGTCGAGTGCAGGTTGTTTAGTAAGATATGTGCGAAGTATCTTTAAATTTTCATAATTGCCAAAGAAATGTCGTTTTGAGATGTTTCTTCCGGAGAGAAATTATAATATGTCATTTATTCCTCATTGTAAACCCACATTCTTGGTTGCATTTGATTATTAGTAATAAACTGTTTAATTTTCATGGACCATAATGAATGCTAATTAGTTCGAACAATAGAATTTTCTTATTTGATGTTGTGAATCAAAATTAGCCTCAATGCATGTCTTTGAAGGCTTAGTGAACTTCTCAATGCGGACATAACAAAAATATTGTTAAGATGGTTCTCCGATGGGCTGTTTCATTGAAAAAGGTTCTTCTACCGTTGATAATTCCATTTATAGTCATTATATGTTCAGTCAGAACTATTGTCGCATTTTGAACTGTTATTTCGGAATGCTCTTTCTTGTCTTCCTAATGAGGTGTTCACCAAACAAGCACTCTTCCATTTTCGTGATGATTCTCTCGCTTCAGTAGTTGGACAATTGCTTATAAGGTTGTAGAAAGCTTATGATTCCACTCTAATTGGACCGCTCTTCAGATCTGCTATCGTTCATGAAACGAATTGTAGGTGGGAAGATGTCCTGATTACTAAAGGACATAGAGGTAAACCCATGTCGGCCGTAGCTCAAGCTGCTCAATTGGATTTCAATATTTCTCACCAGGGAGATTATGTAGTTCTAGCCACGAGTCGTAGCGCTTCAATAGGTATGAAATGAATTTGAATGAGATCCGAATCCAGAGATCTAGGAGTGGATGTGATGAGAGTCAATGAAGAGAGAGATCGAAATTCTCTGGAGCATATCGAGAGAATGAGCAAACTCTTCACAGATAGAGAGCTGAATTATATGAAAAGCAACTCAACTGACCAAGAAAGGTGATTCTGTTGTACCTTTTATAGGAGACATTCCTACTTTCACTACATTCTGTTTCTTACAAATTTGTTTTGTCTCTCTTCATTAAAGCACCGTTTGCAGATGGCAAGCCTTTTATAGAATTTGGTGTTTGAAGGAATCTGTTCTTAAAGCAACAGGAACCGGGTTGGTAGACAACTTAAGAAACTTTTCTTTCAAAGTTGAAGAGTCTGAGAAATTCGAGCCAGGTATGGATTGGAAGGTTGGACCAAGTTGATGTTTTGAAATGTGCAGGCTGTTCAATAACAACAACACAATTTTATGAGAAGGACGTTCATCAAGAAAATTGGTTGTTCGAAGAGTCGTTCGTTGACAACGAGCATTGCGTAGCGGTAGGAAGGTCAGTTATATAATTTCTTGCGGAAAATATGACAAATAAGAAAAATGGCTGGGAAGTTCTCAATTGAAAACGCGGAGGCAAGGGAAAATTTTTAAAAAAGCAGCTCTGAGGGGGGGGATCTATTTACTTCAATAGTCATTGTATACTATTGTTCTATTTAACTCATTTTTTAGATTGTTTAACGATACCAAAACAATGTTGGAATCCAAGGAGAGCTTGAAGCAGAAGTTCGTAAGATTCGAAATAAAATCTTTGGAAGAATTGCTGTCTCGTTCCACATCGCTGCATGACACATCAGAAGATGACATAACGGAAGAATATTCAAGATTTATTCGAAAACCTTGCAAAAATAAACAATAATTTGTAATTAACTCAATGTAATCAAATGATTTTAAATGAAAATGAACATAATTACAGGAGTATTGTTCTTCGCACCATATGTATAACATATAGCATGGTCAGTGGAGTATTAGCCTTACTTTCCTGGACGGTAGTCCCCTCTTCCGATTGCTATGTTCCTCTTAAGCTGTATTGTCTGCTCAACTTGATTCTGGACATAATTAGTATTGGAAACAGTGTTAACAGGATTAATTACATCATTGTCATCATTTGAAAGGCCCATGTAGTCTGGCCACATGTAAGGCAATGCCATAACGTAGGTGATATAGAACACCATAAGGAAAACTCGAAAAACAACGCTCTTCATTGTAGTCGTATATCTAAACAGATATATTATGTTTAAAAAATTTTTAATTGGATCGGAAGAAATTGAAAAAACAGAAGCTCAAAACGAAGAGGTAGTACGGAGAATGTGAAAGAAGAGTTTATCAATGCTTGAAATGACGAGATGTCGTTAGTATGTGGAATATATAGAGAAGAATTGGATGATAATGATGATTATGTTAATGATGGGCAGATCAAGCTTCCAATAGCTTCTGATGAGCTCGGACAAGCCATCTTATATAAAGAGTTCATGATGGGAGGTTTGTAAGTATGAAAGCAGTTTGTATTGTTTCTAATTAGATGATAACAATTAATGCTTTAATTCCGATTGTAGAAAGTGTCTGGCGGAAATAATTGGAAAGTACATTAATAGAATATTTGTGAATCGCTGAAATCTCGCATCAGATGAAAAATAGGAAATGAAAAGCCATTGAAGAACTGTGCTGAAAATGTTGAAAAAAAAGACAGGGAAATGAGACAAACATGAAGAGTGATTGTGACTCTCTATAGCGACTGACTGACTGAAATTGTAGTGAAAATAAAAAAAGGAGAATGAATATAATAAGAGAGGATTGAGATGGAAGACTGAAGAGACAAAATGGAGAAAAAAAGATAGAGCTATTTGTTCATGTCTTCTTCGCTACGAAGGTTTGAGTTGTATAGATCAAGAGGGAAAAATTGAAATGACATCATAGTGAATCTATTTAGGATGTCAGAATTATAAAGACTTCCCTCATTAGTTTTCCACTATCTACCTTAGCATAATCACTCCCTCTACACTTTCTCATTATTGAGGAAGTTGAGATGCTTCAAAGACGAGAGAACAACATTTCAATTATTCTGATTTATTCCGTCTTGCAGAAAACATCAGATTTCAAATTTTCCTAATCATACATCCGGTCAATGTTTGAAGATCCAAATGTTTTCTTCAAATGTTAATCCTGCTCTGCGAAGTTTAAATTACGCAAAGAGCTGCCCACATAGAAATTACGTGTGTTTGAAAGATTTTCGTTTACAGCAGTCTCTTTCTCTCTCTCTATTTCAGGACGTTAGGAAACAGCTAGGCTGGACACATTTCAACCAGTTCATATTAGGATGTGGAGCAATGAATCATCGAGAATGTGAGCAAGAAGACTTATATGTACTTGATCTCATTTAGAGACCGAAGCATGAGATTAAATACTAGAGCACTTAGAACTTGGATACATGGATAGAAATTTATGGATATTACCAAAATAGCTTGATGAAGAAATATAGCCCAAAAGGTCGATGAATACAATATTGGAGGAAGAAATTTATCCAGAAATAGATTCGAATGATTATTCAAAAACATTTTTTTGTAGAAAAAGAGAGAGAAAGAGATGTACAGATTTCAGAAGCTTCTCTGAATGAATTATCTATCCTTCATCATATCAACCACAGACGATATGTCTGGCGTTGCATGGCCACTATTCAGATTACATCAAGGAGATTCAGAAAAGGAAATACAACATCTCAAATAATTGAATGACAACATCTATATATATAACTCCTTAATTGAAGTCTAGCTGTCTTTAACAGAGATAACTAACTCTAAATTTCTGAGGAACGAAACAGAGAGCAATCTCTGATCGGGCTCAAAGTTTGAGAATCAGTATGATGTGTGAGTAAAGAAAAATATGTCTGCAATATATATATATATAAATATATAAATATATATATATGTATATTTATACATACATACATAGATGTAAATGACATGCCTTTACGAAAATGAGCTTACAGTGGTCAGGAAATGGAGCTTATATAGGCTGTAGTAAGCTGTATTGAACTATTATTATGCATCGAAATCCATTAGTCAAGCAACAGTAGGCGGGAGAAAAAAAAGTGAGAAAAGAATAAGATAAATGAAGAGTGTTATGGATGTAAAGATAATGAAAGACATTGAGCATGAATAAAGAGAAATTAGACAAAACTGTTATAGAAATATAAAGTTGAAGAGAAGTTAAGTATGATGTGATGACATGGTGCTCTATTCAGCTCACAATGAAGTGACATCAGTTCGTTAACATAGTCTTTAATTTTTTGGACTAATTTAATAATTTCCAAAAGGAGATACATATAACGCTTTAGATTTCCGGCTGCAAGTTTTTGAAAGACCAGAACGTACTTTGCTGAAACTGAACGATGACGAATTGCACACACACACACATGATGCTAGACAATGCCGATGATGTGATTTAAGATGAAAGAGCATGAAGTCTAAGCTTTTAGGATTTAACACTGCTTAAAAACTTTAATTGGAACTCATTAGTTACAACCATTCGACGGCATTCATATTACGGTGAAGCACGTCGAAAAGCACAACGCAGGCAAACAGGAGACTGTGTGCCGCCGATGGGCTGAAAGAGCTTGAAGTTTTTCCGTTTTGTTTATATAATTAGGCATAATTCCGTTCCTTTTTTTTTCCCGAATAGAGCTTCTTTTCATTTCTAGAAATCGTTATAATTGTTCTTTTCAATATTTTTTTTTTCTCACATTGTTTTCAGTTCACAATATAAAAAATAAAGCTTTTTAGGAGAATTGCATGACGTGAGTCGTCTAACTCGTTTCTGGATATTACCCATAGAGAGAGAGCTAGATAGAGAGAGAAGGAAGAAGAGACTCTTGCTTGTTATAAACTTCTTTCACTTAAAAATGTAATCAGTAATAAATTAATATAACTCATCTTATATTTAAAAAATGTCAGAAGCAGCGATGCAATGAAACGGTCCATCATTGAGCTGTCTATTGAATATTGACATGTTCATCTATATTCTTCAAGAATGACGATAGGCCCAACAAAAAATTGTTTTATTTTATATTGTAACCCCACACATGCATTGAATTAATGAAAATTGACGAAGCCTAAAGTTGCTAACAATAAAAGCTTTCAATGTGTTTCCGAAAGGTTCCGTTATGACCTTCTCATAGCTTTTAGGCTTATCTGTGATCCTTGAAGCAAAACTGAGTTATTTGATGGCTTGTAAATTCTCTCTGCTTAACCATAGACATCAAGATGACTATATTATAAGATAGTGATGAAACTTAAAATTTTATGGAATAAAAAAAAAGATTTATACAAAGCAAGTTATCATCTGTTCATAAGACATTGAGCTTCAAACAACGCAATATGCATCATATGTATATATTTATAGTCATATGTATATAAATTATAAAGAAAAAAAATTATTAATAAAATATATATTCGAATCTCTGACTATCAAAAGAACTGGGTTATGAATAGAACGAGGTCACAGGAAAGAAGTCACCAGCATAATATGATTTTGACAAGCCACCAGGCGTTTCTCCAGAATACGATTCTCCTGAAAAAAAGTATAATTATATAATTATTTGATAACGATAGTGGTATAATTGTTTCTAATGGGTTCATATGAGCAACGAAAGCATGTGAATGAGGAAAAAATCAACTCGGCGGACAAGTTCATAAGGCTACGAATACCAGGGTACAAGTGATAGTATAATGATACTATGGACTAATGCTTGGTTCACGATTACAGCGATGATAAAACTTTACCCAAAAAAAGAATAGTTTGTTTCATTTCATTTTCTTTGTGATTCAGCCTAAATAGTAGTGATCATTTTGGCTGTCACTACGCTTTGCGTGGTATATGTTGACGTCAAAACGTAAATCCAGGAGATTTGCTATTGTCTTCGTACAAATATGGGGTTGAGACAGAAATTTTTGGTATTTTCTTCAAAAAGGAATGTGAGCCATATACTTTTTTTTTGTTTTTAGACTTTACGTTATGACAAAAAAAATATGTTTCATAGAACCAACCTGCATCAGCGTATCGACTAATGTTGCTTGACTGATCCCACTGTGCTTTGTATCAAGGCTGATCATTCTGAAATCAGCGAAATAAGTATGATCAGAAATTTGAAATTAACCAACCGGGCATCATCAATCTGACCTATTCGTTGTTTTGCCACTGTCAGATCATTCTTTAATTGTCTCTGTGATTCCCTCAAATTATCAGCTTCACGACCAAGGTTGAGTCTCTAGAAATGAAATGTGTCAAAATTGAGATCTGTCATCAATAATACCTTATCAAAAACTCTCAGTTTGTCAAAACGGGAATCTTTGTCTGGAAGAAAATGATTATTGAACGAGTTTTCCACTAGTTAAACTCACGATACGTATGGTAATCTCCTGCTCCAGATTCGTAACCAGACGAAGCTGAATAACTTTGTCGCTTCCTATTCTTCTGGACAGCTGAATCTTCACCAGCATCAGAGCCTCTGCCACTGCTCGAAGGACCGTTGCCCAGACGAGGACTTGTCACCTGAAGACAATTTTTTTTAGAGTTCGCACATAAATTAATTTTGTAGGGTTGGACACAAAACAACTTCAAATGCAACCGTACTGAGCACCCGATGCCTAGCATAACCGTACAGAATACGGCACGTGTTCGTGTACAGAATACGGAATATCCATTTGTATAATTCATAATTTTCTTTATATGTTTTAACAACCTTTTTATTCAAAATTAAAAGCAAATTAAACTGACCTTAGCATAAGGAGAACGAATTTCATCCTGATCCTCAGAATTCCTACGATCTCGTTTGTCTCGAGACTTGCTAGAATAAGAATGACGATATTTTTGGAAAGATGTTTGATTAAACCTTGTTTTCCGTGAATGACTTCCTTCACGTTTCGTTATTTTTGGAACAGATGTCGATGGCTGATTGTTTGAGAGCAGAGAAGAGCAGTTCGTTAAAGAAGGTGTTCGGCAAGGAGGATTGAGTTTTTTATGCGATATCGTGGGCGTTGATGGTAATGAGTCTGATGCTCCACGCATTTTCGCACTACTAACACATGAATAATAAAACAGATATGAATAGATCTAATTACCTGCTCTTATTTACAGAGAGATTGTGTAACTGATATGTGATTTGTCTCATAAGAGCTGATGGTAATGATCGACCATCGAGTTGCTAAATTTACAATAATTAAGCGATAATTAAAAATAAACAAATTACCTTATCTATCATTTGACGCTCACGGCGGAGTTCACTCTCTTCAAGCTTCAACTGTTGCCTGCGTGCTTTGAGCTCATCTCGACGTTTGTCATCTTCTTCTCGATCTTTTTGTCGTTTCTCCAGCATGTTATTATCAATAACAGTACTACCCGATGATAGCATACTAGCTTGACAACAGTTCAGAAGTAGTTTACTCTTCTTTTGGTTCTTCTCATCTTCGATTTGCTGAAATCAATGAATTAATATACATTGAAAAATATTTCCTTACTTTTACTCTTTGCATTGCATACTCTTCTAGTTGACTTGCCCTGCGGTACAAATCCATTTCGCTTGGTGTTCCCGTTGTAAGCGAGACACCCTGAAAAGAAGAAAATATTCTTATCGAAATTCAGAATCACGCTTAATTATACAATTACAAAATGAAAAACAGTTGTTTGCTCAAAGTGATGAACAAGCGGTATGCAACAAATGAAAATCTTCATTTGCGATTTCAGCTGCTCATTAAGCAATGCAGATATCGTGTTGCAATTGTTTGCTGATTTGTTTATGCATATACCCGCTTATATATACAAACTCTGAAGTTCTACTAAAAACGAGAGAAGAGTTCGGATTGAGTAGGTAGCGTTTATGAAAACGTTCTTAGTAGCTTTCAGAGATTGAAAATCTTTCTCCAAATATAGTAAATTATGCATATGTACATAACACAAAATTAGAAACCAGGAAACATACTTGTAAAGTATCGCTCTGCTTCAGACTCTCCGCTATGTTGTTATGAAGACGAGACAGTATTTCATGTGAACGCATCGATGAAACCGAAGCTTCCATCGCTCTTTCAAGAGCATCTTCATCAGAATCTTGAAGATAAAGACCGGTAAATCCATTTGATCCAATAGTTCCGCGAACTAGCGCAGGTTTATCATTTGGACATTCAATTTTATCTAAAGCTTCTTTACTCAAAATTCTGAGAGGATGAGAATCTCTACGGCTTCTGCAAGAAGATGTTGAAATTTACAATTGAACTTATTGTTACCTCAATGATTCTTTCAAAGACTCCTCGTCCATTTCAATGATATCTTCTAGCGGATGAGATAGAATTACACATTCCTATAAATAACAGAGCATGGTTATTAAGAGAGTTTAATTTTTTCAATGTTTTACTTTGACTCCAGATCCATCGAATATGCGATCATCTTCGATACATAAACTACCGTGATCACATTGCTCGATCCAATCCATAATAGCCATGCGCTTTTCATCATCCATACTTGGCCTGGAGTGAAAAAAATGTTTTAAATAAAAAAAAAGTTTAAAAAATGTATAGATGCTAGAGAACTGGCTCATACAAACCATAAGTGATAAAGGTATCGGCGCACTGTTCTCAGCATGTGTCTGATCAAAGCGTGTCAGGTGTGGGAAATAGTTTAACTAATTGCGATTATTGATGATCTCTACGTTATAATGAAGAGATTTAATAGAAAGCTTCTGAACTTAAGCTGGTCTGAATAGTCAGCTGCACTCATAAAGTGAAGAATAGCAGTCGTTTAAACGCTTGGGCAGGCTAGCTCCTCTGTCACACATCAAGTTAGAGGATTTTCTTTTCAAACCACCCGTATTGCTCATTAATCAATTAAAACTATCTTCGCTTACAGAAACGGGATTTAATTACAATTTTTTTTAGAATTTTCCAATATTTTCGTTAAATAATCTCACCTGCTTTTCAATTTTTTCGGTGGTGCAATGGTGATTCCGAAATCATCTCGATTCTATAAGGAGAAAAGTTATATTATGAATATGATTATACTATATTACCTCGTTACATTTCCCTCCGAAAGCATTCGAAACTTCATATGAAGTTCCTGGGGGAGAACACAAATCATTGTATAATCTCAGTGTTGCTGATAGAAATGGTGTATGGCCCTGTAAATTCATGAGTCGACAGTTATACAGTATTAATATAAAATAATAATTATTTATAAATTTATGAAGTACCTGCAGCATGGGTGGAATAGAAGTTGAACATGTACGGGTTGAGCTGTCTGATGTTTGAGTCACCTGAGATGGGAAAAATGAGTACTTTAGAAATGAACAATGATCATAGAAAGTAATAATATTATAATGGGAAATTGTAAAGACGGAACTAGGACTAGATGTTTTTAAAAGGAAGACCGACATCAAAGAAAATGGAATATTTTGCATATAGTTAAGTGATGTGAAGAGTTGAAATCAAAACCCAATAAGGTATATAAAATGTTGTGTGTTAGTTTTACGCATATGCTGAGAAGTTAACCTCTGTCGATATACGTTGACACTTGGAAGTGCTGAAGTGAACATGATGGATGATGAGAGCAGTATATCTTTCTATCAATCAGTGAAGTGATTGAACACATAAAGAAAACGAGAATTTTTTAGAATAGCGAGTAGTCTCATGGACGGTTTTAACAAACATTCAAAGATAAATTGCACATGGCATCATCGGCATGTCTTTGGCATAACGTTAGAACCTATGATACCTATCTACGTGGGTCAATATATGTTATGTGTGTATAATATATACATAAGCATGTATATATCTATATACAAATAAACTTATAAACTATGATAGAGTTATAATAACGAATATGCCTACCTTTGAACTTAAACTTGGACTCCGCGGTGGAATGATTTTTGGTGAACGATGTAGCGTTCGAGGTCCAGAAGATGATGTTCCAGATGACGGTCCCATATAGATGACAGTGTCGACAGTGCTCATTTCACTTCCACTTTCAAGCTCTGATCGTTTGCTTGCAGACACAGTGGAGCCACTATCTGCGGATGGCTAAAACATAAAGGATATATTATACATAAATGTATACACAGTTTATATACTATAGTTTGAGCATTAAAATATATTTGCTATTTAACTAAAGATGAGAATGAGACATATGCAGCAGAAGCATTTACATATATGTTCAGTAATAGAAACATTTCATTTCAATCTCTCTCTCACACTCTCACACACATATCCAAAAAATGAAATCTGAACAGACTTAGCTCACACAAATTTGTGCCAACAAGCTCAATTGGATTACAGTTAATTTGATTGGATGACTTTTTGATGTCTTCTTCAAGACTGCTTATTTAGCAAAAATGACCATCAGTGTAAAAGATATAACCAAATGAAGCTTGGCTAACTTTAGATTGTTAACAACATATACTGTAAAAGGATAGTATGAACATCTAAGAGAATGATGAAAATCAATGTATAGTTTAAAAATCTAAAAGAGACTAAAGCTTAGGTAGGCAGATGGTATTGCCAAGATTAACCTAAGATAAAGGAGACAGATATAATTTAAATCTCCTACATCATTTCTACTGTATCGGTAAGATAAAAGCTTATTCAAAGAGCTAAAGAGCTTGTGCAGGTTTTTTGGTGAGCACGCTATGAATGAACCACTTTAGTTTTCTATTGGACTCTCCCTTATATGGTCCTCACAAACACTCTTCATTTCTGAAGAAGTGTGAGCCAATTAAATTAGTAAGAAAACATAGATGAAGACAATGACCAGACGCTATTCAAACGGGTATCTTCTTTGACAGTCAAATGTCGGATAAAAGAACAGCCCTCATTGAGGATGAAAAGAAGATTATTATAAGGATTGAAAAGGTTACGTTTAGAGCTTTTCTATTTGTAAGTGTCGGCTCAATACTATGTAAAATATGAGAAAAGAGGGAAAAATAAAAAAAAATAATAATAAGAATATGACATACCTTAGCAACGTGAATCTTATTTCGACGTACTCTTGCCAATTTTGATGCCAATTGAAGAATATTCTCGTTGTCGTCAGTTTTTGTAGAAAATGTGCAAAGAAGTGTTGAGAGACGAGATGAATATAATCCACAACGGATTAATTGACACAACGTATTTTCTCTGAAAAAAAGAAATATTAAGCATAGTAAATTATGAATTAATTTATGTAAGTGAGAAGATGTACAAGTAAATAACAAGTTGTGAATGACCTCCAAGTGTGAGATGTGAAGACACCAAAAATTGATGAAGTTAATGAGGTATGTGCAACCCTTGTGGCAGTACTTATAACATATTAATTGGCCATATCGCTTAACCATGTTCACACCAAGGGCAAATTAGATGAAATCAATGAACATGATGCTCATCCATTAGATATCATTAATAATATACAACCGAGACAGTGAAGAAGGAAGAAAACACACTTACACTAATAGGAAACGTTTCCTTAAGAGAAAGGACTAGCCATAGGATATAGATTACGTAAAGGACTAAATTCGCACTTACGTCTCTAACAATTCATCTTTACTGCTTAATATATCCAATAGATATACTTAATAAACAGTAAATTATGAAATCTTCATAACATATCAAAAACAATAACTCAATTCAATGAAAAGTTATATAATTAAGGGGGGGGAGTGCTGTATAAAGCACTCAAAACCGTTCAAGGTTAGCGTCGAAAGCAAAATGAATGGCAGTGCTAGTATAGCTTACAGCATAACATATCATAGGCTGACAGATAGAATATAAAAATTTGAACAAAAGTTCGCATCATTCCATAGGCAATACCCTTACGTAGCTTGAGGTACATCCGTGCCAAAAACACAAAGAGGAACCGGAAGCCGCAAAGACGTTTACAAGCCTTTGATGAAAATATATTACACGTGCACATCTAGTTTCCGTATCCCTCCCGAAGGTTTTTCAGGAAGCGATTCATTCACAACTTCGCGTTAGCCCTGCCAACAGAATTTCATTTGAATGATCTCAAGGGACGTCGAGAGGCATGGAAGCACTGCAACCGACCACGGATGACAGATTACACACAAGCCGACACGTCGAAGTGGCGACGAGAAGAAGGAGAATAAGAATAAAGACTTGAGCATAAATGAAAAGGAAAGATAAATTGACTATACAAAATATCATTCACAAACATTTGTAATGGATGTGGGAAGATGAAATTCGTGAAGACGACGTGACTATTTGTAGCAATTTGACAATAAGAACATTCGCTACAAAATTAATGCATTTGCCAAGGGTTAGAGATGAAAGAAGTTAGCCGCTTATTCTAGGAGACTGGTAACAACCAATAAAAGAAGATGAAGACATACGATACAGACGAAAAAGCGGAAAAAATCTAAAAGCTATAGGTAGCTACCGGCCTATGGCACATTTGGCTATAACAGACTAGCCGACAATAGCTCAACTTCAATTGGATTTTCAGTCTTCTGATAATATTTAATGTATTAATTCTTTGTGAAAAATCAATTAATTGCCGTTGAGATGAGGTCAAACAAAGAACAAGACAGATTCCCATAGAATAGCAAAAACCGGTCATTTCGGCTCAGCTGATTATCAAGTATTCAAATCAGCGATAGGTATTAATTGAATTTTCAAACTTTAGAAATAGATCGGAAATGAATTGTCATATATTCCTTGAGAATTTTGTTTCAGATTGTTGTGGAAGACTTCCTGCTAGGCAGTCTTTCAACTCACATGAGTAGGGAAAAGAGAAAAAGCGGCGTGCAAAAGGAGCCAGGAAGGGATTAAGAAAATGAAGCGTAAGTCTTTGGAACGATTCATCTGCATCACCTTATCTTACTTTAAAATTTAGAAAAAAACCAAGATAACAAGTATATAATACCATTTTAACCTACTCAGTTGAATTATTCAGCGTACATCAAAAATTAAAAGTAAAAAACGCTGATCGTTCAAAGAGTATGAATAAAAAAAAATTTGCACGGAAACGAGAGAACTGAAGTTGCGCATTGAGCATGGAATAATAGGAGTGAAGCTTGGAAGGTGTGAGATGAAATGAAATAAGCAAGACAATGATGAAAAACAAACAAAAAGGCTTCAAAATAATACGCCACATAATAAAGAAAAGAAATGAGATACATATTATAAAGAATGAGATTCTTCAAAGAATCAATGCGTCATAAGGTAAAGTAAAATCAAACGACAGATTATTTGAGTTGATGTAAGCTAGAAATAATTGCTAAGAACAAGTAAAGGATCATGTAGCTAGGTCAAATTTAATTTGGGACAGCAATCTGTACTTCTCTAACGATTGTCCGAATACTTTGGATAAGATTGGTTATATACAATTCTAATTAGTCCGTACGAACAAGGACCTCCCACTGTGAAGCACAGTCCCCGTTACGGACAGCTGAAATGCGATAGGTCCAGGAGCTAGGCAGTGGGGGCGGAGTCAAAACATTAGAATCTCCTAGTCAAACAATCTCCACCTATTTTTTTTGGATAGATTGTTTCAGAAGGCGGTAATAATTGGTGGTCAAGCTAAAATGAGGTAAGGTCGTGAAGTGCCCATAGATGGGCGGAGAGGAGTCGGCTAGATCACACGTAGGTCGACGCTCCGGCACGTGTGTGCTCAAAACGCTAAGATAAATAACGCAATTGTGTAGTAAAATGTCGTAAAGACTGCTGTTTGAGCGTGTGAAACAATCATGAGCAATAAGAGAAAGTGGAGAAAGAAGAAAGGATGCACAGATACAAGTACAAGAAATGGCGGATTCTCCAAATATGAGATTTGACACTGTCAATAATCAGAAACGGTGTAAACAGGGACGCAATGTAGATAACATAAAATTGAAAAAAAATGAGTAAAGATATCATACCTTGAAGGCAAATGCTTTTGTCCCTGTAGCAATGCAAGTAAAATACTTCCTATAACCGGCATAGTTAGATCGCCTTTTTGTGAATTTCGTTCTCCTATTCCAACATCAGCTATGCAGAATCTTCTTCTGCCGCCTTCAACTTAATGTTTCTTTTAAATTAAATTCGAATTGCTGAACTACCTTCAAGTTCAGCCCCATTAGTCTTATATCCATATAAAGAAAAGAAGATGAATAAATGATTAGTACGATATGTCTCTTCGTCCTCTGAAAATAAATCATCAATCATGTTGTATGATATATTTTTCAAAACATTCAATTATAACTTCGAAGAAACTATGAAATGAATTTACGTACCAACAAGACGATGGTCAATTACACTATTCAGATAGAATAAAGCTTGTTCTGATGATTCTACTTTGATTAAACTCTCATTTTCGATATCCAATGTGCCAAATCTGCTATCCTCGGCTATTCGCACCGGGCGTCGCCTTGGATCTTAAAGAATGAATGAATTATGGAATCAGTGTCTGTCAAACAAACCAGGATTGAAAGTGCTAAGTAGATCAGTTAAAGTATTCTCTCTTTGTGAATAATGTAATGCTGATAGTCGTAATTGCAAACGGATATCATTCTGTTTTCCTCTGCAAAATTTTAGAAAACCGTAAAGCAGTACGAAAAGTTATCCAATTACCTGCACTCTTCTATCATATTAAATACAGACTCAACTGTTGTTTGAACAATCCCTGGAGATGCGGGACCATTTCCATACAGAAGCCCTGTCTTGCCTTAAATAATCAACTTTAGTTTCTTATTTTAATTATTTTGTATGAACTATGAAATGTTTCTAATGTGCATAGTGTGTGCTATAACAATATTTAAAAGTAAATAAGTTATATTAACATCTTTCAAGAAAACTATTTTCAATTCTCGTGGGATCTATTTCATCACCCCCTAGGACTTGTCCTATCTTCACAGTGAAAAATACTTGAAAGCTGTCTAGTCAAAGCCTAATATTTATGTTTTGCTTCACTGCGTAACAACCCATCTCTTCTGAAATTGGAGACTTGCCGGTCATCAGAACGTTTGAAGGACCAGCCTTATAGCATATCGCAACTCATTAGATAGACCATTCCTGTACTGGCTTCATCATAATGAAGTAAATATTTGGTTATTCTTCACACATTATGAATAAGTAATATCACAAGCGTTTGGATATGTAAATTGACTGGTTTGAGCTCGAATAGTTTACAAAACACCGCATATCAACAAACAATGTATAATGAGAAATAACCCCAAAAGCCCGAGAAACTAAAGAGCCTTGATAACTACATAAAAGAACCGCATTTACCTACCCGGGCATGACCTGTCAAACTCTAAGGGAACAGGTCACACCACGTTGAGCTAGTCAAAGTATTTGTTTGACAGTCTCATATAAGACCATTCACTCTTTTATTCCTCTTTCTTATTTAATATGCACTAGTTGACCCAAAACATGTATCAATCACTATTTCTTCTTAAGAGTATTAAGCTCATATAATGCCCTAATCCTATTCCGAAAAAAAAGCCGCAAAGTGAAGGAATGGCGTAATCACTCAATGCTATAATTTTCCCAACTACGGATAGAGCAAAGCAAAAGAAGTTCCGTCTAAGGAGTTAGAAGAAGTTTTCGCAAAGTTTTAACCAACCTTTAGACTTTCCTCCGAAGGACAATAATGAGCAGTCATTTCCATTAAAAAATGTATGAAGAAGTTCAGGCAGCAGTGAGGTGGCTATTTCATTCTGATATTGATGTTCCAACTGAACTATTATGTCAATGTTATCTTACCTGGCTATTTGATGTGTTGTAAACATTTTCAAAAGCGGATTTAGAATGTGATTTGGTACTCCCAGCAATATGTATTTGTGGCTGGTTAGTTCCTATAGTTGGGGGTGATAGCTGTACACGTCCATGAGATATATCCTCCGATGACACATAAGCGCAAAGTCGCAACTGAAAATTACATTCTTCATTCAGATACGGAACAAAGTTATATATATATATACATATATATAAATAAAGCTGAATGCGTGAATTCATCTAATATTAGATAAAAATCTACCTAATTCAAAATAGTAAAACTGTCAGAAAAGTGAAATTTGAGGTCTAATAGCTTTTTCACGTTTTTCACGTAAAGTATGGAACTGAGTAATACGTTTGACACGTTGCAATCGTTGGAGATAATTGCAATGATGCTTTCTTTCTAATTATTTTTTTTGACATCACTTTCAAACAACAGTTTTCTTGATAAATCTTGAACTTACTCGATTATTCGTTCGAAGAGGGGACGAAGGTTGCCGATGGGGCGAACCCCGTTCCATTCACCCAAAGAGCACAAAAAGATGTGCTGAGGGAAAAAATCTGAAAAAGAAAGAATTAATTAGATTGGAAAAGAAAAGGAAGGACAGAGAGAAAGGTGACGAGCAAAAAGTTTCAGAAAAACAAGGAAAACATTAAACATGCTGAGCACGAAGAGGATCAAGGTGAAAGGAAAGGCCACCAACTTTCGATATGTTTCAATGCCATAAAACACAGATCCTTCAATAGAGAAGAAATTGATATGAGGAAAAGGAATTTATTAAAAACAGGATATCTGAAGAATGTTTATAAACATAGTTGAAAGAGTATGGCCGCAGACGATCATATCTACATCCGGCTATTCACTTAAGGACTTCTAAGCTCAAAATTAAGAATAGATAAAGGCTAAAGCAGATGGTCATTGAGCAGGAAGATCTAACAGTTGGTTAGAATTTCTTTAAATCACTTATGCTCTTATTTTCACAGTTTGTTCAAAAGGAACGCATTAACGACAATCATCATCATCGTGAGAAGTTGAAGTTCTCATCAGTAGAAATCTGATCTCTAGAGACCAACAACTTGAAATGATGACCATAGGAAGTTCCTCAAGTAAATCTAGGCCTCTGCTAGCTTCAAAATTGTAAATATTTTGCAAATTCTGAATAAGTATGCACGTTTGAGAAAGTATACAATCATTCGCAACGTATTTCATGGCTTACTAAGGTTCGTAAGAACTCCGTACATCTTCATCTACTTCCAGAGCACATCGATTTGCAACTCTTTGAATCTAATGCAATAGAATGACAGCCAATCAACTAGTGACCCTAACAACCCAAGTACTGGGTCCCGGGTTCATCCGGGTTTTCCTTTTTCTTACATTGTTCGTTTCTCTTTCTTTTCCACTGGTTTTCTCTCTTTTATTGCTATCTTCTTTCTGCTCATTACCATCTTTCCCTTTCTTTGAATAAAGCTATCCTCTCTCTAATTCTTCTACTCTCTCTTCCATCCTCCCTGCTTATAGTTAGCTTGACCAAAAGAAATAGGATTGACCGTTGATTAACTCTTCTTATTTGAAGGCAGTATGGATCAAATTATCAACATTATGTTTCCTTATTAGGTTCGATTACAACACAGGACTACATGTATAAGGGAGATCAAGTCTATATAATGATGTCTTTCCGGAAGGATTAGAACAGTGATGAAACTGGTGGTGATGTGAAGTAATGAGAATATAGCAAAATGGTGGAAAACAAAGAAATAAAAATCAGAAATTTTTTCGTTTAAAATGAAAATCAATTGAAGTTTTGAATAATTGCAGAATCTTTTGTCTGAATGATAAATTAGTTTGTTTAAAAAGTTAAAAGAAACAAAAGTCTTTGAGATAAGTAGAGATGACGAGATGCTTGAAGAGACACTTTTCATAAACGAAACAATAAGAAGATAGAGAATTCTGTTGAAGATATATAGAATAGAAAGAACTTTTAGAAGAATGAAAGAATGTACTGAAATATGTGAAGGGCTACGTATGATGAGATGAGATCATGTTTCAAGCGTAAGAACAACTGTGCCCCCATAAGCTCATAAAGCAATAATGTGACTAATACTCTTATTTAAAAATTTATAAGAGATTAATGCATTTAGTTTATATCATCTGATTTCATTGCATTCAGAGAGATGTTAGGTTCTACTGCTAGACGCCATGACATAAGAGAGTCGAAGATAACACAAGTTAAGAATAATGAGGAAAAAAACATTCAACCATGGCTGCACAAAATGCAACAACTAAATCAATTGCTGATCAGATTAAAAGATAATCCACCTTGATCAATCTTTGAGAGGGTTGAAGAAATACGAAAGATTCTAATAGGTGTATAGCTGTAATCTTAGAAAACTTCTCTCACACATAGGTAACGTTCGCTTCAGCGCAAAATTACAACGCACAGCTAAAGAAGATGAAGAAGAACACAAACAAATGCCCAACATTGTAGGGAATATGCATGATGTTGCGATAGGTAAGAACAGAATGATCTTCCTTTGAACAAGTTCGCAATCATACAGCTAGACTATCATAAGCCTTTGCAACAGGATTATTGTAATATGATGTGACATATCCAGAAAGAAAAAAAACGCAGAATAACAGAAGAGAATAGGATTGTGTGAAGCATCAATCGAAGAGACGCTAAGAAAAATGAAAATAATACGAAGAACTAGACAAATTGGTGTAAGTCCTTAGTTCAAAGGGAGGAGCTCCAACAACATATCCTTCATCGCTTGTCAGTCTTTGTAGGCTCAACCGGACTTTGAATCGCCTGGGGCCTAGAAGAATTCCTTAGTTGCTACATGGCAATCCATTGAAAAATTAATTTGAGGATAGAAGCACAAATTACATGTTGGATTAGTAGTACTGTTGACTGAAAGGAATGTGTGATGACTTCAATTGTTAAGAAGTTGGACAGGCTGGCACTTATCTCAATCATTACATCTGCATAATGTGGATTCTGCCGAAAGTATGAAAAAAAAGGTGGTAAAGACGACGAAATAGTTTTAATGTGCGATTTGTAATGAGTCTAAAATGCTTCATATACTGTGTGATTGAATTGAATGAAAATGAGGACGTTCATAGCAGCAATGGGTTTGCAAGGTTGTGAAAAAACGGGAGAACATTATCGGAATGCTTATCATCTTTGGCAGTAAAAAAGGAAACGAACGTTTAATGGAAAGTGTTCTGAATGGAAATCAGTTGACATATATGAAATTTAAAATGAATCAGTTACGAAAAAGCTGTCCAAATGTATGATTCTTTAATGTGCGTATGTATATGAGATGATGTTGGAAGATCTCACAGACGTTCTCTCAATATATAATGATGGGTCTGAATGGTAGCCAATTATGGCTGACTGTGCATAGATGGGTTAGCATATGGATGAAGGTCTATTAGATATCTAAACCAAAAATACTTATTCTTCTGACCTCTCAATAGTTGTTACATGATCTGTACAAGATCTGACCAGCTTACACATGTTCAAAACATTCAAATCATTGCCATTTAGCAGCAGATTTTCATTTATAGTTAAGATGAGACATTTAGATTTATAAATAGCTTTTACAACTGATAGATATCTACAGCGAATGAGAGAATCTGATTGTTCAGAAGAACAAAAATTAAGATTTGTCAGAATGCCATTAGAGAGTCTATGTGATGGCAGTTGCCTGCGAGCGCATCAAGATGTTTCCTGTCTGAACTATCTTGAAATTTCCATTTAAGGACAATGAGTGGCAAATGATCTGAGTATGGTCAGCTTTTCCATAGATGAGTATCTTCGAAAGCTCTTCTCAAAAGCAATATAAGCCTAGTAGGGAAGCTAAGGTGTTTTGTATAGACTAGGCATCATAGATTGAAGCGAAAACATGAAGAGGTTTGTTCAAAACTTTGAGAGACAAACTATGAGAACATTGTTTTTCTGTCTTTCTCACCCTCCTATTCGGTAGTTAAATGTAAGAAGTACATAATAAAAATTGTAATATAGGATGACCGGTTCCTTAGAATTCCTGACCGGATGGCCATTGTCGATCATCTGGCACAAATGACAAGAAAAAACTTTTTTGCTCATAAAGCTCAATAGACATAAAGAATGTTCTTGGTATAATTAGAAAATAGCAATCACATTATGTATTTGAAGACAAAAAGAAATTCATACATGTAGGATGTACGGAGATATAACTGATAGACCAAAAATAAACGGAAATAGAAAATGGTCAAAACAGTCCCCAAACAAAATTATTTTTACAAAGACTTGGTAAATTTTAACTAGTTTCAACAATTTTCATTTACTTTGTGCAAATCTTATTCCGTATCTGTACTGGTGGAAAGGAACAGTTTTTTTACTGACGAAGAAAAAAGAGAAGAGTCTTTTAGATATTATGACTAGGTGTGTATCTTTGAGACATACATCATCTGAACACTTTTTAAAGAAGAGAAAGAATGAATAAGAGAGAAAGAGAAGGAGAGAGAAAGAGGGAGAGATGATGAGAGAAAAAGAGAAATAGTTCATACGAGTTGGAAATGATTCACCGTAAAAAAGTGAGCAGAAGAATGTCTTCAAAGAAAAACTAACTAATCTATATACGCTAAAAGAATTTTCTGAAGTCCAACAATCATGATCAAATATTGGAGATTTCAGAATATCATTATCGGACAATCATTTATATTCAAAAAATCAATATGGAAATTCTGGGAATATTCAGATTGACAATCGCCTAGTTTTGGGATGGATGATCAATCACTTGATCGAACTATTTGAAAAATCTAAAAAATGAAATGTGTTATCTATTAATATATAAACTTAAATTCCTTTTTCTGAAAAAGAAAAAAAGTTTTTGACCATTTCAAAGGAAATACAAGAGTCATAAAATATTATTTTGATATTCTCTTCATCTGATAAAGCTTAATGACCGGCTCAAACAATCATTACGGTATTTCATAACTAATTGATATCCGATAATGAATGAAGACGTTTTGTGAAGCGGAGGCCAAAACACTCTTCAATAATTATCAAACCAAATAAGGTATTGTCTACATATGATCAATTATTTACACAATCTTGTTAAATTGACTTATAAATAGGCTTAAAATCAATGTTCAGATGGTAGGAATGACATAAAGAATACGGAATGCCCTTCTGTCAAACAAAAAAAAAACTGAGTAGACCTCGCACCCTCAGCGGTCCGACAAAAACGCTCTCAAAGAAATTCTGGGCCAACTGTCGATCGAAAAACTTTTTTTGTTTCACGAAGAATACGAAATTACGAATACAAGAAATAACTTGAGATGGACAAAGGTTACGAATAGACTTAAAAGAAGAAAAGAGAAATGCTTAAATTAGAATGCAAAAGGCGAACGAGGAAGAAACAGTGTTAAGGGCTTATCTAAAACACCTACCTAGGAAACGGCAGGTAGGACGGACGGTGAAATATAAAAAGAAAAAACGTTATGATAAGAAGTTATCACGTAACAACAACTGGC